GGCAGCCTCAGGCACTATATCAGCCGCCATTCAACATACATTCTGGACATCCTGATCCTGATTCTTCCACACCCCTAAATAAAAGCTATACAAAACTTCCAAAAGCAGACATTATCACATCGAGGTGGGTCTCTGTATCAGGTGGCTGCTGCTGGGTCCTCGCAGCTGAGGCCCCTGTGCTGCCCCAGTATTTGCCTGGCAGTTCCGCCACTGCAGGTAACGAAGGGAAGGGAGATACTCACCGGCCACTTTATTAGGTACGCCTGTAAATTGCTTGGTAACACAAATTGCTAATCAGCCAATCACATGGCAACAACTCAATGCATTTAGGCATCTAGACGTGGTGAAGATGATTTGCTCAAACCGAGCATCAGAATGGGGAAGAAAGGTGATTTTAAGTGACTTTGAACGTGACATGGTTGTTGGTGCCAGACGGGCTGGTCTGAGTATTGATCATCTGGGATTTTCACGCACAACCATCTCTCGGGGTTTACAGAGAATGGTCCGAAAAAGAGAAAATATCCAGTGAGCGGCAGTTGTGTGGACGGAAATGCCTTGTTGAGGTCAGAGGAGAATGGGCAGACTGGTCCGAGATGATAGAAAGGCAACAGTAACTCAAACAACCACTTGTTACATCCGAGGTATGCAGAATATCATCTCTGAACACACAACACATGGAACCTTGAAGCAGATGGGCTACAGCAGCAGAAGACCACACCGGGTGCCACTCCTGTCCGCTAACAACAGGAAACAGTGGCTACAATTCACACAGGCTCACCCAAATTGGACAATAGAAGATTGGAAAAACATCGCTGGTCTGATGAGTCTCTATTTCAGCTGCGACATTCAGATGGTAGGGTCAAAATTTGTCGTAAACATGAAAGCATGGATCCATCCTGCCTTGTATCAATGGCTCCGGCTGGTGGTGTGATGGTGTGGGGGAGGGGGGGATATTTTCTTGGCACACTTTGGGCCCGTGATGCCATCATGTCAATATGGACCAAAATCCATAGCATAAAGTTCAAACAAAGTCACTGACGCCAAAGTTCATTTTCCATAGCACATCCATAGCACAGTGCCTTGATCCACTGGCACAGTCCATTTTCCAATCTAGTCTATACCATATACTATACAGTCACATGACCCCAAAACTAGTAATCACTGAGGGCGCATTCAGACTACTGCATTGCAGTAACGTGCTGTAGAATACGCATTTCTCAACCCATTACCAGAAAACATGGGAATGCATGAAACTAATCCCAATGCCATTCATTCTGAATGCAACTTATTTTGCATGGTGCCCCAATGCGCATACCCAGGACACCTCAACCCCCTTGAGTTTTCAACAGGCACCCCCTTATATTTTAGTGCATGGCAATGTACAGGTGTGAGACATCTGGGTGTTGTGCTGTGTAGTATTAAAAATAAACTTGCACATGTCCATTAAAACATGCGTTGAGGATGCAACAAACCTAATGCGACGCATGGTGTGGATGATCCCAATTCAAGGTTACGCAAAAGAAACATACGCACGTAATGCAAAATGAAGCCGGGAGGTAAGTAAATGGCAGATAGATATGACAATTTTAACGTTCTACACTTGAGCGGAGATGGCAATATCCAATACACAATGCAGACCCGACCAGAGTCTTCTCAACGCTAATCCTTAAAGTTTAATCTGCTTCCGTTCTCTGGTTCCCCCCTCCCCCACATCAACATGCTAATGAAATGTATGTAGTAAAACCTGTTTTTATTACATACCTTTTTAAAACATGTCTCCAGTGGGTCTCTATGCGGGGGGGCAGATATTTTTTACCAATGGCACAGGCAACCTTTGCTTCCTGCTTTGCAGTGCTACACAATGTTTGTGCCTTGTTCCCCTCTCTCTCAGGCTAGGTTGACACCTAGGCGATTGAGCTGCTTTCGCACGTTTTCTTTTGCGCGAATGCGCTTTGAAAGCCGCATGTCTATGGGAGCCAAAGCGCGGGACAACCACCCGAAAATTGCTCCTGAACCTTTTTGCGCGACAAGACGCAGAAAGTGTGAACAGCCTCCATCGACTTCAATGCGAATCTGTGTTTTGCGCGATATATCGCCTAGGTGTGAACCTAGTGCATGCCTGAGCGATCCGGGATAGCGTGGTCCTGCACAATGCAGACAGCGATTGCCGCGCGGCCCCATTGATTTCAATAGGGTGACATCCACGCAGCAATCGCAGAAAAAGGGGTACATGTACCTTTTTTTTTGCGATACACGAAGCGCGGCTGTTTGAATGGTGTTCGGATGCACGGGTCGGAATCTCAGCGGATGCGACTGGGGTGCCAGTCGAGAATAATGGCACCCACAGCGCGACCGTCGGCGACTCTGTGACCGCGCAGCATCGTGCACGATTGCCACGCGGTCACAGATCGCCTAGGTGTGCACCGGCCCGAATGCAAGAAAATCACAAGAGTTCCGGTAGCTGAGATTGTATCGCCGTACTGTGCAGTTAAAGACAGATAGTAGGAGAAACTTTAGAACAATGTAAATATGGAACAGCTTATTATGTATATATTAATTTTTTTTATTCAACATTCGAGTTGTAGGACTCATACAGCCAGGACCAGATTTACCATTGGGCACTGTAGGCTTGTGCCTAAAGGATGCAGAAGCAATGAGGCAGCTTTGCACTTTTTAGATATATTTCTACGCATATATGTTATTAGAAAGGATGGTACAGAGGCTGTAATCTCATATACACGTTGTTAGAATATTCTAAGCCAGGCTGAGACTAGTAAAACCAGGAAATGACCTCCAGCCTTCAGTTTTGCACAGTTGTACCGGCTCCTCTCCTGGACTGATATTGCTTCCTCTGATTTCCCTGCACACTGTGAGCTTCTCACAATGTGCATTAGAAGCTGCAGCTAGAGGCCACCTCATTTCCTGGCTGGAGGACATCCAGCATCTTCTAGCTCTTTCCTCTCCAACCTGACTGGCCCACCCCCTTCATTCATTGGATTTCTTTTAATCATAGAGACTCAGTATCACATGTGGGCTTGGCCTGCATGCAAATACAGCCTACCTAGGAACGCCCACTCTTCCAGACTCACACCCACCTAATGAGGCATTTTGATATTTGCATAACTCCTCCCATGGGCCCACCCATCAGGGCTAAGGGCTCTTGAGAGCAGTACTGACAGGTGCCGTTTTGTTTTCAGGAAGCTATGTACAGCCCCCTGCCGGCCCCTCCCACCAGCCATGATCTACCTGCATTGCATAGAGAAGCACAGAGACTTGCTAATTACATCAATGATGTAATGAAAATGGAAAGGTTTTAGGGGGGGGGGGGGTGGAGGAGGAACCAGGGAAGCCGAAATGTAAGCAGATTAGACTTCAGCTTTATTTTCCTGCCCGTGCTCCGAATTAGTAAACACAGCTCTCCCCTTCACGGAATAAGAGCGTGATGATCTGCAAAGGTTTATTTGGCGGCGGTCGCCCTCCCTGAATCATTCATAAAGATGCAGAGCCGCGCGTACCATTTCCACTCTTCCTGCTTTCGCATTTTCATATTTATGGCCCCGAAGATGATTGCCGGAGAGACCCGCCGAGTAGTTTATGGGCCAGTCCTGGCAGATTAACTTCCCAGGCTTGTGCCATCCACCCATTGTACCCCGGGTCCCCAGCCCATCCATCAGGCCCCAGTGCTGGGGAATAATGCCTGCTGGGATTCTATTTATAAATGGCAGACCTCCCCGCAGTCTTCTCCCCGCACCTTGGTAACCACACTGCCCCCTGCTTGAAGACACGGACACTGACAGCTCCCAAGTCCCAGTACAGGACGCCGTGGGCACCGGGACATAAACAGGGCATCATCCAGCCAATGAGTCATGCTTGGATGGGACCAAGGGGGACACACGCTGCATTATCAGGAGCAGCTACCAGGGTCCTGGGTTCAGTTCCCACCAGGGACACTTGGAAGTTCTGGCCTTGTTGAGAAATGTGTATATCAATCCCTCCCCCGGGGCCAAGCTGACCAGAACCTACCATATACAGCAAGTATGTAATAGGACATAGACTGCAAGCCTTTGGGGGCAGGGGGTGATGGGAAGGACCTGATGGGGTTGATTTACTACAGAAATAGAGACTGTTCACATATGCCGTGCTGCGTATGCAGACACATCAGAATGCCAGTTCCATATATTTTA